ATATATAATAAGGTAATATAACATTACCAGACTCAAATTATCTGAGATTACCCTGAACTAAACATTCTCTAAATGCGATTTAATCTATTATTACCTCTCTTTAAAGTTCAAATACAGTTTTGACCCACTTTAAGAAAAAAAAAGTTCAATTCACTCAAATTATATAGTACATTTTTACTTACCATGTAATTTGTAAATTTCATATTTAAAAAAAAAAAAAAAAAAAAAAAAAAAAAAAAAAAAACAAACAAACAAACAAACAAACAAAAAATAGAAGATTTGAAAGTGTTTAAACGTAATTCACTCTCTAGACTCTACCACAGTATCTTTTCAATTACCAATTATACATAATTTTTTAGAGCTAATTCCACTAGAGGTTCCTTGTCTTTGGTGGCAATTTCAAATTTAATCTCAGGTTATCGTTTTTGCCATTTAACATCCCAGACTATTGTTTTTTGGACACTTGTAGTCATTCTCATGATTTTTCCTATTTTTAGTAAGGGCATTTGTGTCTCTTCATATTTTTCTTTTGTTATTTTTCCCGTGTCAACCGGTTTAATTGGTTTAGGACTTTACTAAAAATCGGTTGAAAAATATGGTTACTAAAAATCAGAGGTTACCTAAAGTCCTAAATCAATTAAACCGTTTAAAACTAGAAAAATAACCAAAAAAAATATGAAGAGACAGAAATGCCCTTACTAAAAATAGAAAAAGTCATAAGCAGGACTAAAAATGTCCAAAAAATAATAGTTTGGGATGTTAAATGACAAAAACGATAATCTGAGACTAAATTTAGAATTACCACCAAAGACAAGAGACCTCTAGTGGAATTAATTCTAATTTTTTACTTGACTAAATCCATCTAGTTAATGCAATACTTCCTTTACCCCAATTACAATCCAAATTATCTTTGTCCTTTGTCTTTTCTCAAGTCTTACATATGTGCTGAGGTGTTGAGGTAATCAAGACCACCAAATGAAAATGATGTATGGAGTATATGCTTAGGAAACTGGCAACTGGCAAGGCCCCAATCCTATACTCTAATTACTAGGACTATTAGACATACTTTAATAAAGTATAGATAAATTAATTTTTTGGGCAGGAGCCCCACAGAGGCATGAGATAGGTGCATCTGGACCGTCCATGTAATATATTCAGTATTCACTCAATTGGGCTATTGATATTGGCTCAACGTACCTAACCCTATACGACTACTAGATACTAGACAGGGAAAAGTAAAGAAGATTCTACTTTGTTTGACGATGGACCAGAAATAGTAAAATGTGAATTCGAAGAAGAAGCCAATTCAAAACCTATAACACATCGAAGCTTCGTGGAATTTGATGTTGGTGAATGGTGATGTTCAGTCAAAAACCTTGCTCAATGCGCAACGTAGTTTGCACACAATCCGACATGTGGTTAAATGGAATTAGGATTACAAACTTATTCTAGAAACACAAAATTTAGACAAAAAGTGTCAAATAAACGCATTTATTACTTATATAAGTGTTCAATTAACCATTGATCTAAAATAAGAGCTAATTTAATACATAATTACATTTTTTCAAAAGGCTGAACCTCAATCCTAAGGGTCTCACACCCCGACCCGACAGAGCATTTGGGAAGATGTAAATCATGGTAACTCAACTGAACATGAACCACAAAGGCTAGACCTGTGCTCACTGCACACAAGGAACCTCCCTAATTAATACATAATTACATAAACTTAGGGTTCGTCGTTTGGAAAGTATGAAAATGAATTCTAGAAAATGTTTCCGGAAAATAAGTCATTTTCCAAAAAATATTTTCTTTTTCCGTGTTTGGTTGCATTCTAAAAATTTTTATCATTGGTTCATTTTCTGAAAAATGGATAGAATTGTATAATTAAACATTTTAAATATTTTATTTAGAATATAATAATATTACAAATAATATATTATTTATCAAAAAAAAAAAAAAAAAAAAAAAAAACTATCGTGGTTTCCGGCGGAAACCATACTTACAATTTTCGTCAGAAACAGGCAGAAGTCATTTTTCGAGTTTCCAAACGAAACCTTACTAAAATGCTTGCATCTACCATTTTTGTCAAGTTCTATCAAGTTGTCAGTCTATATTCATGGACAGATTCACTATAGGGGGCCACCAAATGATCGAGAATCCACCCTTGGTACCATTAAACCACAAAGTCTTGGTATATTCAAATTAATTTAAAAAACTTTAAAATTAAAATTTAGAAAAACATAAATTTAAAAAGTATTTAGGAATATAGTGCCATTCAAATTATTTTATCTAATTAATTATATTTCTTATTATGTCATAAATATTTTCACATTTTCACCCAACTAAAGTATATTTTTTACTCCGACCCTAGCTATCATGTAATCTATAAAAAAACAAAATATTATATTGCAATCTATAATGTATTTTGTATTTTAACATTATTATGGATGTTTGATATTTTGTAATTGAAATTTCTATCGTCATTTAAACTTCATCCCCACTCAGATAATTTTCTGGATCCGTCCCTGTCTATATTAAGCTGATATGAAAATGTAATTAAAAATAAGGTTGTTGATATGGAATTTTTTTTTGAATGTTACTGGCCCTATTACATTATAGTATTTGTTCATATACTTTCTCAACCTACTGAAACACAAAGAACATATGGAATTTATTAATGTTATAAATTAAAACCAAGCAAACCCTATCAATATGTTCTTCATCTTCGACTTCTTTCTTCAGCTTCGCTCGTCTTTTTGATTTTGAAATGTCTTCATCTTCACCTTCATCAAGTGCGCAAAACAACTTGGAGTCTGAGCATGCGATGTATTGTCGTTGTGGATTGAAAGCCCCAATTTGTCCAATTCGCGATTCTGGGATGAAATTTTTTTATTGTCAAAGATGGAATGTGTGAATATGTATATTATTTTTACATTTGTGTAATTTTTGGAATGACCTATTTAGGAAATGTGTTTGAAATCTTTTCAGGAAGGGTACTAGTGCGATTTTTTTTTTTTTTTTGAAAAGATCAAATTTTATCTACTAGATTACAAAATGAGAATGATGCATTTGTAATGGAAGTTTTTATTTTAGTCACCTTAGATAGAATTGTGTGATACCACACCACCGAAAAGTGAAAAATCAACTTTTCGATAGATTGAAGCAATTTCACATGAAGGTCCCTTCCCGTGGAATTGGAGATACCGAAAAGTTGAAAATTCACTTTCAAGGAAATATTATTTTGCTAGATGCCATGTCAAAAAATAATAAAAAATTGCCAGCCACATCAGCTTAACTGGATGCCATGTCATCAAAACCAAATAAAACATGAAAAAAATGGTAAATGCAAGAATTTTAGGAAGTTTATGTATCAAATTAGATCTTATTTTAGACCAAGAGGTTAATTGAGCACTTGTGAGTAGTAAATGGTCTTATTTGACCATTCTGTCAAAAATTTAACCGACATACTATTTTGACTTACAATATATTAATTATAATGTGTCTTTTCTACATTAATTAGATTATAAAAATTAATTTGTACTATTCGTAGATGATGTGATAGGATTGATATACTTAAGAGCCTATATGCCATTAGCTATGTTGATATTCAATCGTAACTGGTGTAGTTACTTATTTTGACCAAACTCTATACTTACTAATCTAGTTAATTTTGCATCACAAAATACAACACACACACACACACACACACACACACACACACACACACACACACACACACACACACACACACACACACACACATATATATATATATATATATATATATATATATATATATATATATATATATTACATAAAAATCTTATAAATTATATACTCAACATAAACTAATTTAAAGAATGATTGACAAATAAATACATGAAATTAAACATTAGCACTCATGATTAGAAACACAAGTACACAACATGAGGATTAAAAATTATAATATTATGACACAATTAAAAATTGAGTTAATTCCATTTTTTGTCATAGATTTATAGGTGACAATCCACTTTTAGTCCTTTTTTATTAGAGCATCCACATTTGGTCCTAATATTATTGTGGCATGACCACCATTTTTAGTCCTCAATCTTCAAAATTGTTGAAATATCGTTAAATACAAAGACATTTCAATCTTTTTTATATAAAGTATGTTGAATCGCTATATATATTTTTAAAAAATATTTATAATTGAAAATCAAAATGTCCTTGTATTTAACGATATTTAAACTATTTTGTGGATAAAGGACTAAAATGATCATGTCACGATAATACTATGACCAAAAGTGAATGTTCAAATAAAAAAGGACTAAAAGTGGACTATCACATATAAATCTAGAAAAAAAATAAAATAAAATTATATTTACAAAAACGAATAATTAGAAATCACAACTAGTCATACACAACTTAAAAGATAACAAGTGGAATTCAATTCAACAATAAAACAATTTCTTCAAGCATACCAATCACATCACAATCTTGATTGCATGTACATAATTCAACATGGTTGGTTCGAGAAGACAAACTTGTCAACGTGGCATGTGAAATGAAAGCAAGAAACCTTGTCACCTTTCATACCTCTTGTGTTATGCCATCTAATATGTGATTACATTTCATACTTGTTTACATATTTCAATGAATTTGTTTATAGTTTGATTATATTGAGGTAAAGTTTGTAATTGATTTATATATTATTACACACTCAATGGGCTAAATCATTAAAAAAGATCAAGAAAAGCATGTTTTGCATGATTTTCAAAATCTAATGTAGTTATAAAATATTAAAAATTCTTATTAAATTAATAAAATATGCATAGAGTAAAATATAAGTGTATATATACAACCGCATAATTGGAAGAGTTACTACTCCGGCCAATAAGGTATAATTGATGATTCACTGTATTAGTCTCATCTTGCATGATGCAGATACCAATGCAGGATGAATAATATTTATATTATAATTTTTTTTTTACCTATAATGAAATTTGAGCACGGAAATATTAATACTAAAATTTTTCATTGTTATATTTCACCCCACCAAGGCACCAACTAGGAACATAAATATTTACATTTTACAAAACTACAACAAACCAAATTAAACAACAAAAAAACATGGAAATGAAAATTTTAATCCAAAAAAAAAAAAAAAAAAAAAAGGATTGGCTAATCTTTTGATTAAACCAAAGGAATAGGAGTAATAGATGATGATGATGATGATGATGTAGTCCCACTTGAACTCAAAAGTTGTTCCAAGTAATCAACACCCAAGTCTTCAAACACCACCACATTCTCCACCTTCACTTCCCGCCGTTTCCCACTACTCCTCCGGTTTAACCCCCGCTGCCTCATGGAGTGTCTCCGCTTCAGCGCCACCACGGGAGAGCCGCCCTCCTCCACGGGGCACCTCATCTCCCGGAGAGATTCCCGGACCCTCTCCACCGGGAAGTTCAAGACCGCCATGGGTCCCCGCATCGAGAACGCCGCTTGGTCGTAGGCCAGGGCCGCCTCCTCTGCGTTGTCGAATGTTCCCAGCCACACTCGTATCCCGTTCCTCGTCGAATCCCTTATCTCCGCCGCGAACTTCCCCCACGGCCGCCGCCTCACGCCGCGGTACGACCGCTCCTTCTTCGGGGTCTCCGAGGTCACCTCCTCTTCCTTCACGCTGCAATCCGAGGAGTTGGTTTCCGAGTTCTCTCGCGCCGCCTGAGCCAGAACCCCGAACAGGAGCATTTCTTCCGAGTCATTTACGTTGAAAGGGAGGGAGCTCTCGAAATTCCGGCAATCCCACGGGAAAGATTCCGGCGATCTTAAGGCTGAATTCAATGGGTAGAACGAAGAGCAAGAATCCATTTCCGGAGTGCTCTGTTTTTTCCGGGTTTTTTTTTTCCCAGTTAAATGGTCCACTATAGGGAGAACATGAAGGGGCATGACCCTATATATACACCAGAGTGGGGTCCATACAGTTAATTAGACAAAAGAAAATAAATATTTAAATGTTTAAAGAAATAAAAATAAATTAAATGAAAGCGAAAAGGGAAAGAAGGAAGAAATGTGAGGAAGGAGGATGTTTAGGGATTAAATGTGTTTTTTGTGAATAATCTTTTAGGCAAGTTGCTGATGTTGCAAATTATGCACGTGGGTCAAATGAATTAGGCGGCCAGGTCAGATAATTCTTGAATGACATCATAGATTGACTAAGGTTTTTGACCTCATCCCTTCCTTTTTTTCATTCAAATGTTTTTACTTTGCACAAATTGTCTCGTTAAAAAATTGAACTCGTGATCTTTTCTAATAAATCATAATCTTTAATTTCTAATATTTTTCTATCAGTTTAACAAGTATGTCAAACTTTTTTTTTAGTCTGACATTCATGTTGATTTTACCATTATGTATATGTCATAATTTATGAGTTAATTGGGGTATTACTAGTTGTGGTCCCTATAAAATAGCCCGTAGACGTCCTACTAAAATAACCACACATAATCCTCCGTTAGCTTTTCTATCAAAAGGGCATTAACTAGGGGGGCAAAGGTGTCCTTTTGCCAACTTTGTTCTAAATTACCCCCTTCCTTATCGGGCTCGGGTTCGCTACCTAAGACTCTATTTGAAGTGAATTCCTGTACGTATAAGAAAAAAAATTATATTGATAAATGGTTGTGTCATATTTATTACATTAACATCAATTTGATATGTCTTTTTGGATATATCAGAAGTGAGAATGCTGACATGAATAATGAAAAATCCTGTGAAAAACATAATCGAGCACCAGTGGTTTCATATCCGGTCAAAATCTTGGCTAATTGATCAAAACTTGTGGGGCCCTATCTATTCCATCTCTCGAGCCCCGAAGAAAACCCCCCAAAAGAATATTTTTTGATACACCTAGTACAAAACAAGCAAGGGCTGACGCGAAAGAACAAGCAACAAGCAAGAAAAATCATGCACATCCGTTTTCTTGGGAATTGGACAAAGAAAATAGAGTGCTCGACCGGAACAACGGCCAACAAAGACCAGTTGCAGAAGGGATATCAGGATCTAGGCAAGTAAAGAACTTGCTTTGCCTAATAGCAGGTGAAAGGGGCTAGGGAAAGCCATCTGCGAACACTCATCGTTTACGGCATGGACTACCAGGGTATCTAATCTTGTTTGCACAAGCCCCCCCCCCCCCCCCCCCCCCACACACACACACAAAAAAAATACATAACCACCACTAGTACCACATATATTCTTAGACTTGGAGTAACAAGTACACTGTGACACTGGTAGGGTGAACAACACCAGACCCAACGAGGACAGATGGGGTCGAAGCCTCCACTTGCAAAGCCGGTCGTGACACTTCTCCACCAATGACAGCCACTGTCCGCGATGGAGCCCCGATGCCTAGAGCTAGGATTCCAGCAGGGGGCTGTCAAACAGAGTTCAAATCCCAGAGACCAACGCCTCAAACAGTTTCTTTGTTCGCCACCTCAGAACGCCATAAAATCGTCGGTTGCCCACTAACTCTAGGATAGCTTGCATGTAGCCGATCAACGATATGATCACCTGCGATTGACCGTGACGACAAGGGGAGTACATTCGTATCATTTGTTCCATGATCGGCGGTCTAGATCATCGTCGCATGCGCCAACAACGAACCTTGAAAATTGCAAAATCGCCTAGGTGATCGTCGAGTTGTGGCTTGCAATCATATTGGAGATTGTGTAGGGATGGATTATGATGGCAAAACTAAAGAAGAGGATCGCCAGTGCCCAACTATTTTCACACTCTATAGGAAGCAATTTTGTGGGAATGTAATGGTGAAAGAACACCTTGACCTTTCCACTTAACGCCCTTTTGACAGAAAAGCTAATGGAGGATCACTGGTGGTTATTTTTTAAAACTAGTAGGATGTCTGCTAGTCATTTTAAAGTTGAGGGACCACAACTGATAATACCTCAATACTCGAAAGACCATGTGGACATAATTTTTTGTATGCGTACTATTAGGTGGAAACATAGAAAATCACTATAGTATAATATAAAAGTGAGTTAAGTAAAATACATAGAGTTTGTCTTATGCGAAATTGTCTCAGTTAAGGTGTGTATATATATATATATATATATATATATATATATATATATATATATATATATATATATATATATGTAATTTTTTTGTCTATAGAAAAATAATATATTTCAGCTAAAATAATAATAAACATCTTACGTGAGACGTTCTTACACAAAATTTATTGAAATATATAAACATATACATATATTTTTTCTACCAACTCTCAACACATGCATTATTGTGAGAAGTTTTAATAACCGTCACGAGATAAGTACGCACTCACTATATGTATTAATATAAATGCTAGGTCTTGTGTAATATGGTCCTCACTTGAGACATTTAATACTACATTTTTTTTTTAACTAAAATGTGATTTTTTTTATGTACTCATAAAAATGTTAGATTTTAACTAAAAAAATATTACATATCTCATGTGATACTATTTTACACAAGACTTATTTTAATATAAATATTAATTATTTATTTTAAACATAATAAATTAAATAAAATGTCCAATGATAAATTTATTAAAGAATATAAAATTATTATTACTTAAATACCGCTGGAACTATACTAATTTTAATATTTTATGATTACTTTTTTTTTTTTATATGAAAGTGGAAGGGGGAGACCCAAGTAACAATTACACAAATACATGAGTGTTGCGCCAAAGCGGGAACCCAGCTAGATCATCTTCCAGGAATCCTCTAACTGCGTCTGGAGGATCTGGCAACCTGTGCAAGCCATCACAGTATTGACTGGAGAGTTTGGCTAACGCGTCAGCTACAGTGTTTTGTTCCCGGATGATATGTAGAACCTGCCAAGATTCAAACTTTTGGAGTTCTTTCCTGCAGGCTAACAGTATGTTATGTGCTGCTATACGGGGATGACTATAACTGTTGAGGAACTTGACAGCTTCATCTGAATCACTCTCAAATATTACCCATTTGAAGCCTAGTGTTGCTGTCAATTGAATTCCTTTGAGAAGTGCCCATGCCTCGGCTTCAAGCGGAGTAGTAGTGCAAGACTTTGCTATGGTTTCTTAGACCGTGTTCATGAACACATGTTAGTGCTCTTGAAAATTTTTAAAAGTAATTTATGAATAATATACTAATTTTTTTTAATATATAAACCATTTTTTTTTTGTAAAAAATAAATAAATAACCTAAAGTTTAGTGTACTTTTTAGGCCCATTTTAGGGAAAATAGTTTAATATGGTCCTATACTGCTAGTAAAAATAACAATTGAATTGGTACCTCAACAAACAAAAATAAATATAAAATTTCAAACTTCTAATTTTGTGCAATTAAAATTACAAACTCTTTATTTTATATTTTTATATGATCCGTATCAATCTTGACGGGAGCAACTCCAACCAAATTAATCGGGTAATTGATCTAGAAATCGCAAAGTTTCAGTTTGACTCTCCATGAAAATTGCTTATTGAATTGATTTTTTAATTTAAGTCGATCAGCTACGAACAATACAAAATATTATGGTTCAAAATAATGCTAATAAAGCCATAGGGTGTCCAAGTGAAATTATACCATTATATTGTATTATTGCTTCGTACTTAGTCTGAATATTGGTGTTAAGTTGCGTGTATTATCTCACTTGCAAAGCCAATCCAATTATCCATGAACCAAAAGTCAATATCAAGTTCGGCACAATATTACTTTGAAATTGGAAACATATTAAATTATTTAATTTCGTGTATTAGTTTGCAAATCTTATAATAAGTCACATCATTTATGAAAATATTTCCGAAACAACTTATTATAACACCCGCGAAGTGAATTATAAGCATTGTTTTTCACTGCACATAAATCATGTATCTTATGTACTAATGACGTTGAAAATGTTGTTCAAGATAGGAAAAATCGTAATCTTTGGTTATCAATTGTTCACGAATTATAAATCTAGTCCTTTACTAAGAAATAAATCAAAAGTTATAAATATGCTCTCATAAAACTCTAATAAGCAAATTTTACTTTTAGTCTTCGACTATTATGGTATTACAAAACTTGTGTAAAATCATCATCTCACAGATCATTGTCTGTTAGACATGTCGGATTGTAGACAACTTATGTGTAAGTATCACCATATAATTTTATTTTATTTAAAAAAAAAACACCCAAAAACTTATATTAATGAAAAGAGTGCATACAAATGAAATTAGAAACGCTACGAGGAATAATTAGATGTATTACAATGTTTATCATTAGTAATAATCAATTTTACTTTAATTAAATAGTATCACAAATTCATATATAATTATTACAATATTTGTCCTAGTAACGATTTATTTTTAATTCAAATTAATATTAAATTTTTTACAATAAATATTACAATTTCTTTTATAAGTAGTAACATTTCACATATAAGTATTACAATATTTACATTAAAATTACACTTTGTAAGTATGATAATTTGAGTTATAAGCTAAGTATTACAATATATGTATCATTACAATATCTATTATAAGTAATAATTTAGAAATAAGGAATATAGCATTATTCCTGTGATAAAGATTAGCTCAGAGTTCACCTCTCTCTCTCTCTCTACCACAAAGTATTAAGACAGTTCGTTCGCAGAGAAAAGGACAGTTGATATATATGGAAGGATGAAAATCTTAAGAAAAGATTTTCCACTAAACTTAACCTTAAAAATTAAGAAGAGTTAAGTATAGCAAAAACTTTTTCTATGGAAAATGATGGGATGTATTTGAAACGTCCAGATACATATCACCAAGATAAGAAAATTTCCCAACTAGTCACCGGAATAAGCTAGCTAGGATGTTAATTATATACACCAACACGTGATAATAATTTTGGAGAGTTTTTTTTTTTTTTTTTTTGAAGTACT